AGATAATGAATTATCGAATCAGACCTGAAAACAAGAAAAGTAATTCATTTAGAAGTCAATTTTATTACTCCGTAATATAGATTATAAGTTATAATATTATGCAAAAGTTAAATAGCCTAAATAAAAAAGGTGCTCCTACTACCTGTTAGTGTGCTAGCGCGGCTACGAACGGGAAGGGAAGAGTCTAAATCAACCACTACTCTTTTCCCATAAAGGTAGGATTCCAAAATTGAAAATTGGTAGACCTCGTGCTCTCAAGTGGGACGGCGATGAGAATGGAGGACTTCAAAGACGTAAAGGAAGCTCTGGGTTGATCTGCGCCGCTCGTTTGCCACGCCTAGTTTTCCAGATCTGGACGGCGCCACACGGATTTGCACTGCTCGTTTGCCACGTTGGAAACGTAAAAGAAGCTCTGGGACGGCAACTTTGCCAGGCTGAAGTTCTGGGTTGATGAATGGCTCTGGTTCGGCGGCGGGTTCCCAGGCCGAAGCTCTGTGGAAGGAGGCGGTGCGGGACGATGAGAGGTTGTGGCTAGGGTTGAAGAAAATGGGTAGGAGGTTTAGGATACTATAGATATAACATAAAGGATATATTTGTCCATAAAAATTATTTATTATTTATTAATTACGAATTTTTATTTATTATTATGAATATTAGTATTGTTTTGGGGAAAAAAACTAGTTAGGTCATAGATTGGGAAACTCATTGAGTTTTAATCATATCTGGGATAATTATCTCTTTTAAAAATACAAACCAGCCCATAAAATCACAGATGATTGCTACTTAACTAACACGATAGATTAAGGTGTTGTTCCGTTCGTCTTATTCTTATTACCTATTGCTTATTCTTATTTTATTCAGATCAGATCAGATCAGATCAGAAAATTTCAAACATTGTTTATCACTTTTATTATTATAAAATAATAATAATAATAATAATAATAATAACAATAATAATTATTATTATTATGATTATTAATATTATGATTATTATTGAGGTGATTATTATTATTGTAATTATTATTATTATTATTATTATTATTACTCCATATTATTATAATTATTATTTTTATTATTATTCTTATTATTATTATTGTTATTATTATTGTTATTATTATTATTATTATTATTATTATTATTACTACTCCATAGTCCATATTATTATTATTATTTTATTTTTATTATTATACTGAGTAATTATAATTATAATTATAATTATAATTATAATTATAGCTATAATTATAATAAGTGTAGTAGGTATAATTTTTTATAACTTTAATTATAATTATAATTATTTTAATTATAATTCAATATTTTTAGAAATATAACTGTACTTATAAATTATATTTAAATTATATTTATAATTACAATGATAATTATAATAATTATAATTATAATTAAAGAAATATTCAGATCAGATCAGAAAGATTCAGATCAGATCAGAAAAATTCAGATAAGATGAGATCAGAACTTAATAAATTCAGATCAGAAACATTCAAATCAGACGAAGAGAACAACTTCTAAGCCACTCTTTATATTTTAATTTGTTAGAATACATATATAGTTGCATATTATGTATAGGAAGTATATGGATGTTCAATTTTTGGTTTAGTATCAACCAAACACAGAAAAGAACCTATAAAAAATGTATACACTTGAGCCTGTTTTTAAAATTATATAAATACAAAACTTAATCATACGTATGAAATGGGAATATTCAATATTTTGGGGGCTCTACATTGTGTTACCCTTATCAAAAGGTTTAGCAATCTTTACTAATCAAAAAGAGAATTGAATAGTTCATAAGATTACATAAACAATACCTTGGCATTCATTCTCTCATAACTTCACCTTAGCATCATTCCACGCACATGATATCCTAATATGCAAGTTATATAATTAAATAAATATACTTTATCTGTCCTACTTAAATGGTTGTCACACAATCTACGGTCGACTGACCATTAAATTAACTGATCTCTTTCAATAAGAAGATTATTTTTGAATAAATATAATTTACACATTTAGAAATTACATTAAATGTTTTATAAATCACACTATATAAAGAAATTAAATGAAAAGGGATAATTAATTGAGGGTATTTTCGGAAGAAAATTAGGCCATCACCGGGAATGTAAGATAACCTAAGGCATGGGTAGTTATAAGATTCCCCTCCATATTACATTCCCGGGAATGTAACTTTTTCGATTTTTCTCAAACTCGTGAACCAAACATGGGTATCTGAGATTTCGTGCATCACATTCCGATCTTCATGTGAGATTACCCCAAACCAAACATACCTTAAGATTTTACAGGTAAACTTCTTGTAGTATTTATATAGATTTTGAATTGAAATTTTATCCTGATTATTGTAATGAAAAGTTTATCTAATTGACCCCATTTTACAACATCTAACAGTTTAGATATATTTTTATTTTTCATGTCAAGACTGAATAGTACTTTTTCACTTGAACCTATCTTTGTACGTTAGAGTTACACATTAATCGGGTTGGGGAGAGTTGGCTATATTTCACATACCTACCCGTTTCAAAGGGTTAACTACTAAATAACCCGCATGTATGGAGTTTTTTTATTTATCGTAAGACGCTTATATCATTAAAATAACATTCAGCAGGGGTATAAGAACGTGAAAGGACCACATATAATCATCCGCCCTTGACCGAGACTCTGAGTTAATCACCTTTGACAAAGCAATATAACTTGCTAGACCTAACTTGGGCAAATTAAAGCTAACGACGATTACCGTAACCCTCTCAACCCCAAAACCAATGCAAGAGTTTTACAACAAAAAAAGGAGTAAAAACAAAACATAATAGTCTGACCGTGGAGTAAAACGAAAATAAATAAAATAAACTGACAGGGCAACCAAATTCATGCCTTCAAACAACATCCTCGGTGGTGGCTCAGGAGGGGGACGGATCATCAACCTTTCATTTTGAAACATTCCTTGCAAACCCACCACCACAATTTCCACTGACATCTTCTTAATCCCTATGATTATAGTCCGAATGAACCTGAAATCCATGCTTACCTTCCCTATCGAAACCAGTGGTAAAAGAGAGGAGTCCATAACCCCAACAAAATCACGATCCAAATATGCTTTCTCCCGAAACACCCGACCCCAACCCTTCCTAAACCTGATGGCGAGCAAGTAAGAGTGAAACAGAGAAGGGTAAATACCGATCTTCAATCGGCAAGATTGAAATCGGAAACACGACCTAGCGGCTCGCGGCGCAAGCTCTAGGAGAAACGACTGAACTTCGACCAAGGAGATCAAAATCGGAAAAGTGCCTAGCGGCAATGCCCTAGGAGCTTTCGATCTTTGCATAACACAGAAAGACGAAGTCTGCACTTTGGTCCGCATGTATGGAGTTTAGAATTTAAGGAAGTAAAAAATCGTCTCAAATATGAGTAAAATTCTCCTAAATTCCAAAATAGGATTATTGTGTTTTTATATTTAAAATAAAAATAATCAATTCTCTATTTAATATTAGTATGCTTTAAAACATGACATTATTTTTCAAGCTTAACAGTTTTTTTTAATATTTAGGGTATGTTTGTGAGTTGGATTTTGGAGTGGAGAAGAGAGTTGATGAGGGTTTATGACCTTCATTTTCATGTGTGAGAGTTTAAAAAATTAGAAGGGGTGATTTTTAGGGTTGTTGTTATCCTCCAAAACTCTGTATACTCAATTTTTAAGTTTCCCAATTTTAAAAATAATTAACGAAATGATAAATTAAGCTTATTTAAAATAAACTTTAATTTAATTATTTTAATTCTTCAAGCAATTTTAATTACAATTCCTTCAAAACCTTTTTTCTAGATTTATTATTTCTAAGTAAATAAATGAAGTGTTTCCTTGCAATATCTTCAAAAGTCATTCCATAGCCTATCCCCAAATTTCCAAGAGGAAATGCCAGAAATAGTCCCAGACTATTATGACAATACCCATATCAGTCCTGCTCTTTTTACGTGACCATAAGACACCCCCAAGTATCACGACTTTGCCAATTTTAGTCCTAATTCACCTTGGTCGTTTACTTCCGTCAACTGAGAGGGCATTATGGTAAAATTCGTATTTAATTGACTGCAAAAATAAGCCTAACTTATCTAATGATGTGAGGAGTGACAAAGGTTGCGGCAAAACGGGCGAGTTGGTGACTTGGCCTCTGAGCGTCTGGGCGAGTTTGCCACCGTCGTGCGGCGTTGCGGACTGGAAGCACTGGAAGCCGGCGGACTGGACTGACTCATTCAATAAGGACTGCGTTTTCATTGATGCTTTATAATGGGTATCTACTGTTAGTACTGTATAGTGAATGAGCTTGTGCTTGATTGAATTCTTGAGCAGTTTAATACTCCTCAGTTTTGTATTACTTGTTCGAATTTCAATTCTTGAGTCAATTTATTTCTCTTTCATTTTTTTATTTAAAAAAAAAAATTGCTTATCTGCCTCATCGATGAAGAGGTCTAATGTTCTATAAGAACACTCATGTTGGCCACTTAGTTCAACCTTACCTTTTCTAATAAGAATAAAATTGCAGGGAAACAGAGTGTGGCTATGTTCAGTGACCGGACCCTCCTAAGTGTCCTAAGTCAAAGAAGGATTAACAGAAGGAAGATGAAATAATGAGGCTGCATAAGGATGTTAAGGAATCTACAATGAAGAAACCAGAGGCTATTAAATCCAAATGTGAAAAGATGATATATGGTTTGCTCACACTGGTCATTGTTTTTGTAATCTTCTTATGGCAGAATAAAAGTTTCTGAGAGTTGACAAATGCTTACATCTGCCATTTGGGTTAGGAAAGCTCCAGTTTGAAAATGAAGTTTCACATAAGGAGGCCTTTGTTTGTAGTTTTAGGTTGTTTGTAACAAGATCATTTGGGTTAGGAAAGCTCCAGTTTGTAGTTTCCAAAATTCTTAGAGTTTATTACAGTATACAAAGAAGAATATAATAGGCAACATGAGGGAGAATAAGAAACAACACAGAGGATAATCTCAATTTAATTTTTTTCCAAGCGGAGGTAATGTTTTTTTTAAATACCGAGTACTCCCGAGTAAATCGCCTTTTTGACCCACTGACCGAGTTGGCTAACTCGCCGAGTACTCGGCGAGTAACTCGGAATAATAACTCGGGCCGAGTAATGTGCTACTCTGCAAGGTCATAGGCCGAGTAGGGAGTACTCACCGAGTACTCGCCGAGTAAATAACCCAGCTCCTGCATATTCAACATCGAAATCAATAAACTTGTCAAAGTCAAGATCATCCAGCATTGTTTCATTCATATCATAGTCACTGTCATACAAATCATCCAATTCAAAACTCAGACGATCTTCATTTTCCTCCTCCTCAATGCTATGTGAAGTTGCTGCGTTCTCATGAATTGGATGACAAAATTCTGCATTTGAGGACTCATGCGTTTCAACCCATACTTCAATCTGTGTAGGCCTCACACCATGCTCCATTAAACGCCAAACATCAGAATCAGTAAGTAGTTCACTTACAAACCCACAACTTGATAAAGTGAATAATTTCGTCTCTGAGTAACCATAGCCCAACTCCTTTACTTTTTCCCTGAGCAGGGGCGGACCCAGGAAGTTTGTCTTGGGAGGGCGGTAACTTAAACAAAATATTTTTTGGGAGGGCAAAAATTATTTTTTATTATATATATACACTAAAAATTTTTGTTGTTGGGGGGGCGACCGCCCCCCTGGGTCTGTACTACGGTCCGCCCCTGTCCCTGAGTGTAATTAAGCCCCACTCATCAATATCCATATAGTCCCACCAATCTGTCAACCCACCAATATATCCATATTGTGATTTTGGATTAATTTTTCCGCCATGCTTCAACTTCAAAGTAAAAAAGCTCTTATCATCTACCCTATCTGTGAGACAAAAAGTGGAACAATACTATTCATATCAGAATTTTGCATTTTAAAAAAATTCCCAGCTAATGGGGTAATACCACTCCAGTATGTTAACATTTTCATATTAAAAGATTCTAAACAAAGTATCAGTTTATATGGTACCGTATTGCGGAGCAGCACCGTTTCTATCTCTTCGTTGTTCCATTTCTTCCGGCAGCATTCTTCACTAAACTTCCATGTTGAAGAATAAACCTTGGCGGAAGAGCTAGGGTTTAAAGTTTCAGAGGTTTTTAGTTTGTGGTTATGTATACAGAGGAGTTTCAAACGGTAGTTTATCCTAATTAACAGAGTGTTGACTATCAAAAGAAAATAGGACTAAAGTTGGCAAGTTTCTGATAGTTTGGGGTGTCTTATGGTCACATTTAAAGATCAGGACTAAATTGGGTCGTGCCAGAATAGTCTGGGACTATTTGTGGCATTTTCCACCAGACCACCACCTGGTTATACTCCGTATAATCGAAGATTTCATATACTACCTCCCTCCCCTTAAGTTTGGGACAAGAGAAGGTGGCACGGTTATTAATAAAAGTGGATTTATGTGGTTTGTATTGAATTGATAAAGTAAGAATAAAGTAGGAATGATTTAGGGAGTGTTTGCATTTGATTAAAAAAAGTGCTTTTCAGCTTTTGGCTTAAAAAAAGTTAAAAAGAGTGTTTTCAAATGACAGCTTTTGCTTAAATTAATCACTTAAAAGCTAAAAGCTGGAAGCAGGTGGAAGGGTGCTTTAAACTGCTTTTCACTTTTTCTATTACACAAAAAGTACTTCTTTTACCAAACACTACCAACTTTTACTTTTTTAGAATCACTTTTTCTTCAAACACTACCAACTTTTACTATTAATGACTTTTCCCAAAATCACTTTAAAAAATCACTTCTTTAAAGTTGAAGCAACTGCAAAAACTCCCTTAGAACCACACAAACTTTACCAAATAAGGTATGAGACAATCTTAGTGGGACGGACCGAAAAGGTAAAACGAACAATCATATCTGGACGGGGGAGTATTTCAGAATTTTAAAAAGTTTTCACCGTCATTTTAATGTATTAGTCATCTTGTTCTTGACAGTGGCCAGCGGAAATGGAGTTCACCTGTTCCGTTGCGTCTCTGAGTCCGTGCTTTGCTTCTCGAAACTCCGCCAGCAGGCCGCTTACGGTTTTTCTTGATAGTGATTTTCATTTCGAAGAAGAAGAAAATGCTCGCTTATGTTAGCTTAAATTTCCTTCCTTTCATTAGAGACTGCTTATTGTCGAAGTTGGGACTATTTTTTGATCGCTGCTTTATTGTTCTTAGTTAAACCCTCCTAGAATTTTAGGTAACTTTTTAGGGAATGCAATTGGAAATAATCTTTTTTGGTAAACTTGAACGTGACCGCATTTGAAGAAATGAACCGGAAGAATATCTTCAATTTTTGCATTTCTTGCGCTGACTTTTTTTTTTTTTATTTCACTGCTGTTACAGTGTTGAAGTCTTGAAGAAATTTTCTGTTTGGAAATGAATGGGGTATGGAAGGACGCTGTATATCACTGTTGGTCACACCATTATATTTATTTCTCATTTTGATGACAGTATTTTATACTGTAATCATCCCAAGTGTGAATGATGTCAGCGGCATGAACTTTGTAGTGTCAATTCATAATTCATAATTTAAAGTTAGTTAACAGTATAAACTAGGAGGTGACCTGACTTATGGTGTTCATTATTCGTTAATATGTACTGTAATGATATTTGCAAATGATTCTGAATATGACGAAAGCATAGTTCATCTCCTTAAATAACTCCAACTAATATAGACATTTGGGAAAGTTACCGAAATAGGACTAAAACAGTTTGAAAATTCCAAAATAGGACTGCCAAGTTTTTTATTCCCAAAATAGGAGTAATTACTGTCATGTTTGGAAAATACTGCCATGTTTGAAATCTGGTACTGCCAAAACATGGCAGTAATTAGTCTTATTTTGAGAATAAAAACATGATAGTCCTATTTTGAAATTTTTAAACCTTTTTAGTCCTATTTCGGGTAATATCTCTAGACATTTATGTAGCACTTGAATGCTATCAGAGCATCTCATTGTTTGGGGTATTAGCGTCAATGTCCTGCCCAAGAAGGCACATTGGGTGGAGAGAAATATTAATATTGATTTATTAATTTGGTCTGTTGTTAGGTTTGTTCTTTCCAAAAGTAAGGTTGAAATCATCCCTTGTTCAATCTGTTGTTGCTGATACTGCTAAATCACTAAGCATCTCTGCTAAAGAACACAATCCATGTTTTGAAGAATCTATACCTACTACTACTGCCTACAAAGCTGATGCAAAAGAGGAATATGTCAGAAAGGACACTGTTGAAGGCGTTGGTGTGAATGATATGATCCGAGTTTGTGACAAGTTAATTGAGGTCTTTATGGTAGACAAACCGACTCCAACTGATTGGAAGAGGTTAATAGCATTTAGCAGGGAATGGACCAATATCAGACCTCACTTTTATGAACGCTGCCTGGAGCGAGCTGACAAAGAGAGTGATTTTGAGATGAAACACAAGCTACTTCGGCTCTCAAGGAAGCTGAAAGAGGTAATCCTTTCCCCCCTTTTAAGTTGTAACTGAAGTTATGTGTGCGTGTTTGTTTAAAAGTAACTAGAAGGTTCTCTTTCCAGATTGATAATGACATTCAAAGACATAATGAACTTCTCAAGGCCATAAGAAGTTCTCCTTGCGAGATTAGTGAGATTGATTCTCGGCGTCGTAAAGATTTTACCAAAGCGTTCTTCTTTCATGTTAACACTCTAGCAGAGTCATATTATGACAATCCAGAAGAACAAAATGGTAAGCTATTTGTTGGTCTCAGTCTGATGCCTATCCATTATTGATAATTGTACTAGAATCACCCTCCAATTTGTATTTGACTGTGCATCTTACAGTTTTCCACCAACGTTCTGTGCCATCTGATGGAAGATAGATTACAGTACCACTGTTACCAGTCTTACCACAATACTAGTATCCATTTATCCACGCCACTCAGAATTCTAAAATCAGTTTTGACTTAGTAGTTAGTGGGTACTGGGTAATGTATATATACTTATAGTTATACTACAAGAATATGTACTTTTGAGTAGATATATGTAATTTCAATATGGATTCCTGCTTATTTTATTTACACATGTATAGACTAGGGTTAATTTTCATTTCATTATTATAATATAATAATAATGATTACAAATTTTGTTACTGCACAAGTGTAATTATTTTAATTATAGGTAAATAACAGTACTAATGAGAAGATCTGACATTAGCAAAAGTTATTTTTAATGAGGGTATAGTTACTCTCATCGTATACTTATCTATGATAGGACCTATTACCATCACTATTTCTTTTAACCGCGGAAGCAGTAGTGAGGGATCGTGACAGTATATTTCCCGTCACTAAATGTTTTTTATGACAGGAATTGAACTTTTAACAACGGTATATCCTATCACTAAAGATGAAGTTTCTTTTAGTGTTATATACGTAGTACAGTACTCCGCCATATCTTTACACTAGTATAGTAGTATTATATACCGAGTATATATATGGGGTATAAGTTACTAAGGAGCGATTCCGGTAAAAACGGATCTTAGGAGAGAAATGAGAACGAATCTGAACTGTTGGATTGAATTATGTGGAACTGAATTGTGCATTTTGTGAAACCGAAATGTGCATTAGATGATATTGAAATGTGCAGAGTAAAAATCTAAACTCACATGTGCATTACGTGAAACTGAAATGTGCACAATAAAAGGTACAAAAATAACATCACATCGTACCTTTTATTCTGCACATTTTAGTTTCATCTAGTACACATTTCAAATTCTCCTAATGCACAATTCAGCTTCACATAATGCCACTACATCGTACCCTTTGTGATGCACATTTCAATTTCACCTAATACACATTACAGTTTCATCTAATGCACATTGAATTTCACATAAAGCAAATCTAACGGTCTAGATCCATTCTTATTTCTCTCATAAGATCATGTTATTATTTGAACCAAAACCTATATACCTAAGTTACTAATCCGTATTATTTTTGAAAACAGTATAAGTTATTACGTAGTATTTATTTATATATATAAACCTTTGCATGTGGGTTTAAAATATGAATATACAATATACACTACATGCAGATTAAGTTTCTGTATAAATTATGGAGTTTATGGATTCAATCAGGTCCTCCAAGGATTGAAAAAGAGTCAATTCCCTAAATAGGACTAAAAAGTGGCAAAATTGCACAAATAAGACTACATTTTTTAAATTCTCTTAATAGGACTATTTATGTGTGCTTGGACAAATATACCCTTGTAGCTTGTGAAATGTTTTAATTAATAATAAAATCATAAAAAATAATAAAAATCGAAAAAAATACAAAAAATCGTAAAAATAATAATAGAAAATTAATAAAAATATTTTCAAAAAAAATTTAAAAAAATTAAAAATTGAAAAAAAAATCGTAAAAAAAAAAAAAAAACATTACCGCCCCTGCCACCCCCAGCACCACCAGCTCCCATCACCGGAGAAAAATATGACAACATTTCAAATAATGCCATAATGATGGCATATTCAATGAAAATGTTGGCATATTGAAGAGTAATTATGCCATCTTTTTGGCATTTTCAGAAAAAGATGTCATTTTTTTACCAAAAGGGGAAGAAATCTCACCAATCGGAGGTGGTGGTGCTAGGAGGCGGCGGGAGGTGGTGGGAAAGGTATTTATAATTTTTTTAATTTTTTATGGGTTTTTACTATTTTTTTTATTTTTTAAAAAAAGTTAAAAAAAAAAATAAAAATTAAATATTTTATTTTATAAATATTTTATTAATTTTTTATAATTTTTTTTCGTTTTTTAAATATTTTTTTACGTTTTTTATGATTTTATTATGAATTAAAGCATTTCATTATGAATTAATAATCTTAGGGATATTTTAGGGTAGAAAATCAATGTTTAGTTCTATTTAGGGAATTTTAAAAGTAGTAGTCCTATTTGTGCTTTTTAGGAAATCATTAGTCCTATTTAGGACACTTTTTGATTGAAAATAGTCAAATTAGCTATTTTATAGGTTACCTTACTGTTTCTCCCGGTTAACACACTATTTGGATGTCCGGATGGCATTTCTTACGGTATGCGAGTTCGTATATGGTACCACCGGTTGTACGGTGAGCACCGTACAGCCGGTCCAGTTACAGGCCTAATAGAAAAATAGAAAAATAATTCGGTGGTAATTTTGTAATTAATGTAAAAATCACAGTTTCTGCTAAATGAGCATTTGTGTATTTTTAATGAGCAATAGTCCAATTTTAATGAGTAATAAGCGCCCAATAATGAGTGTTGTGTTATTACAAGAATGTTGATATCACAACTAAAAAACGGTGGCATTTTCATAATTTCAGTAAAAATCGCGGTTTTCGTTAGATGAGCATTGATACACTTTTAACGAACATCAGATGTATTCTATTGAGCATTAAGAGTAAAATAATGAGTATTGTGATATCAACTTCATATATTGTAATTGACTTTCTTTTTCTTATTTTTTCTTTTATAAAATCTCATTAACTTATATCTATAATCAATTCATATGAATTTCAATATGCGAATCTAATGTAATATAATACTTTTGAAATAATGCATTGTTATGGCTTTTTAAAAACGAGCATAACATCGGTATCAATTGATCATATGTAACATATAAAATGAGCATAGATAAAAAAATCATAAGTTTTTTTGTTCATATTTTAATTGAGTATCAAACCTCCTCTATTGAGTATTAGAATTATGTGATTGAGCAATCTGTGCTCCCGTGTCTATAATCAAGTCTTGTGTAAAAATATAATGAGTAGAAGATCGGTACCAAATGAGCACTCACAACTTACAAAATGAGTATTGAAAAAATAAAAAGCTCATTTGTGTCTGCACATTCATTTTAGGAGTTATACTCATTTGAATTTAATATAAAACTCATTGTGATGAAGTGGCCGCGAGAGCCACGGAAGCCGACGTGAAGTGCATTGACATAACATTTTAAAATGAGCAGAACACTATTACCAAATGAGTACATTATTTTCGATATGAGTAATGATATCGAAATCATAAGTTTGGTTAACTGAGCATCAAGACATTATCAATGAACATCAAATCTGCTCAATTGAGTATCAACAACATGCAATTGATTTTCATGACCTCTTTTCCCATGTATATAATTTAACTATGACATTTTGAAATGAGCATAAACTAGTACGAGATGACCACAAATAACTTACAAAATGAGCATCGAAAAATTAAAAAAATCATTTGAATTCTCTAATGTGTTCAAATCTTCATTTGTGCATATTTCTTTTACACTACCCTCATTTTAGTATATCACAAAACTCATGTTAGTAATTAACACAAAATATTTAATAATTAATAAATGTTTATCTTTGATGGATTGTCTACCCGGGGGGTATCCTATCCGAGGGGTTATTGCGGGAATAACTAGAGAGAAGTCAGAGTAAATAGGAGGAGAGAGAGTCGATTTTATTAAATGAACTCAGCGTGTGGAGTTGAGATGTAGATTGTGTTTATTACAAGGAGAAATGGGCTGCTATTTATAGCAGCAATAAATGCGATGAGAGTACACGTGTCAGCAATCCAACGGCCGAAGGGTCACATCAGCCTGGTGGCACCGGCAGTGGTACGTCAACCGCATTGAATGCGGTTGGCGGATGTGACATGGCATTAAATGCGGTGGTTGGCTGTCTCTAAAAGGAATCTTCGATGATTGAGCCTGTTCAGCCGAAGGCTCTCTGTGTAGCCGAGGGCTCCTTGTGCAGCCGAGGGCCCCTTGTGCAGCCGAGGGCTCCTTGTGTAGCCGAAGGCTTGGTTCAGCCGAAGGCTTCCCCTGGTGCCGAGGGCATGGGAATGCCGAAGGCTCATGTCTTCGCCTGTTTTCTCCCAGCAGCTTCTTATGCCAGAGAAGGCTATCCTGTGAGTTTTGGAGCCCTCGGCCAAGGTGGCCGAAGGCATCCCAGTGTGCATTCTGAGCTACTTTGAGGCTTGGGCCGCTGCATTTGGGCCTGAGTTGTTCTCTGGGCTCAACGGACTTGTGTAGGAGAAGTAGGAGTCTATGGGCCGGGGGGTGCTGGGCCATATACTCCATCAGGAGTCCCTCACTCCTTTTGCCGAAAGGCACTTGAGGGAAAAGGAGTAGTTGTGTTGATTCCTCCGGAGGCTTCATCACTTTGTTGGGCGCCCCCGCTTGAGAATTTGCCTTCCGCTGTTAGCCGAAGACTTCCCTCAGTCCCTCACATGTCGAGGGTTTTCTGAAGGAAGTATAATACTTGTATGAATGCCGGAGCCTCTCCTCAGTCCCTCACATGTCGAGGGTTTTCTGAGGGAAACTTTTGATATTTTATTTCGCTATTGCCGAAAGGTGCACCGGGTCACGTGCCCGAGGGGTTCTACCTTTGCCCGGGTGCTGTATGCGTTACTTGTGAATTTTTGTATGAAGAAATTTTTGTTGTGTATGATCCCCGAGGGGTGTATCCCAGTCCCCCACTCCTTGAGGCCGAAGGCAAGTTCGGGCTGAAGGAGTTATGATGAGTTGATGAGCCCCCCGAGGGGTGGTTACATTGATAACCCGAAGGCCTATGTTGCTATGGGCTCGAAGGCGTTTGGTGGAATTCGTTGCCTGAGGGCTGCGGTGAGTGATAGCCGGAGGCTATCATTCGGGGGCATCCCAGTGTTTCTGAAATATAGCCGTTGCAATATAGCCGTTGGGAGAGGGGTTGACGTGGCCAGCTGGCGCTGGCTGGCGGTGGGCGGGAATCGCCCATTGGCTGATCCGGCGGCCCGTAATGATGGGCTTTCAAATCGAGGCCCATATATCGAGGCCCAGTTGCCTATAAATACCCTGAGCCTGAGCTCATTTGTGCTTGCGCGATTTTGAGAGATAGCGAAGCTCTGGCAATTTGATTCTAGAGAGAGAAAGTTTTCCTCGGTCAACCCAAGCTTCCTGAGGTCAGTTCCTCTTCTGTTGCTTTCTTCCTTAACATACTTTGTTACTCCTCGCTTTGATCCAGCGTTAGCGATTTTTAGGGCCTTCGGCTGAGATTGAATAGCCTCCTCTTTTAGAACCCTCCCCCC